TTTTTGTCTTTTTTGAGACAGGGTGTCCCTTAGCCCCAGCTGGCCTGGAACTTGCTATGTAGACCAGGCTGGCATCACATAAATCTGGCTGCTTCTGCTTCCCAAGTGCTGGGACTAAAGACATGAGCTACCACTCCCAGTTCATGACATGGAATTTTGAACTGCCTCCAGCACATTGTAAAACTTATATTACAAAGACTTTAAATTCTGGTATATTTCTCTAATGTAAAGGTATATGTTAAAATTTTTGTTTTAGGGAGTAATTTGCTTTGTTGGAGTCCAAACTCAAGCTCTGTCTCTTGAGTGATGATATCTCAATTCACTTCTGTTAGATGCTGTTAGGGTGCTTTGGGTCTGCCCAAGGAAGTATGATGTGGACATCCAATATTGACTGCTGAGTATAGTCCTTATCTTTACCCGTTACACTTCAGATAGAGAGTTAATACCTAGAATATACAAGGAGCTACAAAAATTAAACATAAATCATACAAGACTATCAATAAACACAGGTTAGTGAACTGAATAGACAGTTCTCAAAAGAAATACAAATAGCTAATAAATATTTTTTGAAGTGTTCAACATCCTTAGCCATCAGAGAAATGCAAATCAAACCTACTTTGTGGATCCATGTCACCTCAGTCATGTTGGCTATCATCAGAAAATGACAACAAATTCTGGTGAGGATGTGGGGAAAGAGGAATATTTATTTATAGCTGGTAGGGGTATAACTAGTATAGCGATTATTCAAATAAGTATAAAGATGTCTCAAAACATTAAAAACAGAACTAGCATATGACCAAGCTATACAACTTCTGGGCATATACTCAAAGGACTCTACATCCTACCACAGAGATACTTGCACAACCATGTTTATTGATGCCCTATTCAGAATAACAAGGAAATGCAATGCCTAGATGTCTATCAACAGATGAATGGAGATGAAAATATAGTACATATGTACAATGCAATTTTATTCAGCCATAAGGAAAATTATGAAATTTTCAGGAAAACAGATGGATCTGGAAATAATATCAAGCTAAGAAATTTAGACTGAAAAACACAAATACCACATGTTCTCTCTCACATGCAGATCCTAGCTTAATGTTCATATATGTATATATATATATGAATATGTGGATATAGGTCATGGAACTAGAAGAGACTACAAGAGAGGGAAAAAGTGTTGAGAAAACAGGAATAATAGGGCACATGTGACATGAAAGTAGAAAAGAGGTTATTGGGGGTGAAGGGTACAAGGGGCAATGGGATAGGGGAGAAGAGGAAGGAAGAGATCAACAAAAATAAATTAAGTTTGAAACCCAATACTTTGTATGTTAATTTAAAATAAATAATTAAAAAATATATTGGTCAGGAATTCTACTCATGATAAATCAATAAATAGCTTCTGTTGATTAAAAAAGTTAAACTAAAATGATCTGTGACCTAAGGAAATTCTCCGTTTACTGGTTTAACTCAGAATACAAACAATTCTATTATCTCGAGTAGCTTGCTACATTATTAACAAACCATTAGAAGATCATTTAAGCAAACTGCTCCTAAATCCAGTGGTTAATGTTCATTTATAGGTGCTTTTTTTCCTTTCTCTCACATAATCAGATTACTGGAGAAATACCCTTGTATGGGATCATTTTTGCCATTAAGTTCTCAAATATGCCAATTACTGCTATCTAAAATCCTAACTTCGGCTGCAATTCTCATTTGGGGTATAATGTAAGGACACAAGGCATTTATTCCTGTACTCACAGAAGCACAAATCTAACGAAAACAGAAGTCAGTTTTCCATGGAGCTGGAAGACAGCGTGAGTGCAATCACACTGAGGCAGCCAGCCTCTACTTGGTCTCCAGTGGTCTTTCCCTTCTAGCAGTGCCTTTTGGGAAGCCCCACCCACCTTGCAGATGGCTGACTGTGTGATCATCAGGATTTAACAAAAGATGGTGTATGGCTCTGAGCTGGAGCTTGGCAGCTAGTTCAAGCTCTGTCAATCACCCTCTCTCAGGGTGTTTAGTATTTGCATTGTTATTTTTTCCTGAGTAAACATTTAAATTATCTTTGTCTTTTCTGTAACTTCTAGCAAGTCCTGACGTACTAGTTAGTGCTTCATATTTGACAAATAAAAGGAGCTAAATTTGTCCATATTTCTATAAATATCAAAGATAAATTTGAGACTTCTGAAATTTCCTAAATCTGCATTATGTTATTCATATTTTTATGCCTGTTTATATATCTTACATCCAATCCTCTATTCTCACCCTGAGATGTGAATTATTTATATGTGTGTGGGTACAATCTAAGCAAAATACTATCAACAAAATATATAAGATCGTGTTTATATTCACATGCATTATAGATTAGATTTTTACAATATTGTTCCAGGGTCCCCAAAGCTGTGTTCTTTCTGTACTGCTGTTGTTCTAATTCTCTCTGACCCTTAAACTAAGCAGGACACTATGACTGTCTCAACCAGAGTACTGAATAGCAAAAGCAACTGTAGTCTTACATTCTAGGCTTACAACAGAGCAAGAAGCAAAATGTGATAGCACTGGAGAGCCAAGTGAGTGGGTCCTTCAGGTCTCTGTTTACAAATAATCTAGCACAAGTTTCCTCAGTGATTACTGCTCCTCTGATCCGTAGCTACACGGTAAGGGCCACGAGAGAGAGCTGGTACTGCACTGTTCTGCTCATCCATCTATTTGCTGCACAGTGACCACACAGGAAGCTGCTCGATAAGTACGCAGCTGAACCAAGTTCCTGTCAAACAAGCTCACTTTCTAGGCCAAGGACATGTACACCTTTATTTCCTTCAGATCCTTGTTCTTCATCCTCCCTCGACTAAGGCATTAGCCTTACCTCTACTAAGGTACTAGCTCTCTGACTTGGAATGGGAGCTTTGCTTCCTATTTATGCTACATAAACAAAACAAAAAAAAAAGAAACAAAAAAAAGGGGATCCCTATTTCTGTTGTCAAGATTCAGTACCCAATGAGAATTCTATATTTTGCCATAGAAATACTACATAAAGTATCATTTTTAAGTGAAAACAGGCTAAATGACTTTCTAATCAGCTGGCTTTGGAATGTAAAAGCCAGAACTGAAGACTACATTCTAAGTTTTGGGTTAAACCAACAGACTAAAAATGGATCAATAAGCTGGACTGCATATACCCCAAAATGAAATGGGTGTTTTATAATGTCCTGCTAATAATTTTATTTTTTCTTTATTACTATTAACAAAGTAAGCTCATAATAATAGCAAGAATGCAGAGTATCAGCTAATACTTTACTCCTATTTAAACCTTTCCTCAAAGGTTTGAGGTTCTCATAAAAATTACTACCACTGCTACTAGATATATCAAAGATGAAAAACTTTCTCTACTTAGCACAAACAGAACTTTCTGGCAGCCAAAAACATCCATATCTAATCATCAAAGTAGAAGGCTGTTTATTATAAACAAAAGCTATTCCTTAATTGCGGTAGAGGCTGAAACTCCATTTCAATGCAGTCTCTGAAGGTTTGGAGGGGAAAAGTGCCTTCATCATCAGAGCTTGCTTGCATCTTTCTGTGTATTATGATGACTGAGGGTATTCTGCTCATCACTTGGAAGAGTTAGGCTGCAGTAAAATCCTTGAGGAACTCACTAGGATTAATGACTGTGCAGTGTCATAGCTGTAACAAAGTCAGTTGTAGAAAAGTCACTCATCTAAAAACTACAACATGAATTCTATTGTTCCTGCTTCACAGAAGGCTTTGGAATCAATCTCTCCACTTGGCTTTCATCAGCCTGTGCAAGCACTGAGCTCATCTAGGGCTTTCCAAGATAACAAACTCTTCCTAAGGGAAAGGCACACTCCTAGGACTGCCCTCTCTGGAGCAATCAGCACTCACCACCCATTCCCCGGAGCCAGGCCAATAGAGAAAGGACTATATTCACTGTTACGACCTGCTTTCTTGCCAGAGCAGCATGGAGTGTGAGCCAGGCTATACAGCTTGTTGGGAGTGAGAAAGGGAGTCAGACATGTTGGTTAGGTCCTCCAAAGGTGTTCCGTTGGCTGCTGAAGTGGAAAGTAGCTAGTCAAAAGTGGTTCTCGGAGTGTGGAAGTCCTTTCAATCCCAGACCACCCTGGAAACACTTTATTTCAGGTGGTTCTGCTGTTTTGTTATAGAAGGAAAGGCTGAGGTCGTCTTGTTAAAAGCCTGTTGAGAAGATTATTGCTCTTCTGACAACAAAAGACCATCCCTTCCCATTAACTGAAACATCTGCTTGGTTGCTAAAGCCATGATTTGTATTGAGACACTATGTCAGCTGTTAAAGTCTAAATATTTAAAATTGGTAAAATCTTAGATTCTAAAGCTGTCACTAAAGCAAATTGTCTTTAACAATAGAGTTTAGAGGAAGAAAG